TAGCCCTGACAGATGTGGCTCGGTCTGCAGACTAAAGGGTATCAGGTTCAATTCCAGTCAAGGGCACATGCCTGGGTTGTGGGCTGGATACCTAGTAGGGGCCATGCATTAGGCAGGCGATCAATGATTCTCTCACATCATTGATGTTTCTGTCTTTCTCTCTCCCTCTCCCTTCCTCTCTGAAATCAATAAAAACGTTGTTTGTTTGTTTTTTAAAGTAAAGCTCATTTAAAAAAAATTTTAAATACATTTTTAAAGCAAAGAAAAAAGCCTGAAGAATGCACACCAAACTTGAGGTAAGGTTTTCCTTTACAAACTTATTGTTTGACTCTAATATATGAAGAATGTATCTGTGTACTACTGTACAACAAAAAACGTTTAATTTTAAATACCACAGTTAACCTCTGATAAAAAGGAAATTAAACAGAATCCACTTCCTAACACTCTGTACTGTAATTCTATTCATAAACTATCCTACCTCCAAATCACATTCGAGTCTCTGATTACTAATATTACCGCAATATATGAACTTAAAAGAAAAACTGTCAAAGATACTAAATTACTGGGGGGTGGTATATGCACAAATATGCATGTGAAAGGAACTTCTTTAATCAGTAAGGAAATATTCCACCAGAAACATTCTTAAATTCTATCAGTATTTAGAGCTAGTATTTAGAACTTTAAACATAAGTTGTGCTATTCAGAAAGTCAGGTTAATTTATTTTTTAAAATATATTTTATTCATTTGTTTCAGAGAGGAAGAGATAGTTAGAAACATCGATGAGAGAGAGTCATCGATCAGCTGCCTCCTGCACATCCCTACTGGGGATGTGCCCGCAACCAAGGTACATGCCCTTGACCGGAATCAAACCCGGGACCCTTCAGTCCACAGGCTGACACTCTATCCACTGAGCCAAGCCGGTATCAGCACACGGCAGGTTAATTTAACAAAAGGATGTTTGGCACCCAGCTGTCCTGCCTGGCTGCTCAGTGGTTAGAGCGTCATCCCTCAGACCCAAGGGTCAGAGGTTGGATTCCCAGTCCAGGGCCCAGGTTGCAGTTTCATCCGCCCTGGTGGGGACAGAAATCAATCAATGTATCTCTCACATGGATGTTTTTCTTTCTTTCTCTCCCTCTCTCCCCCACTCCTTCCCTGCTTACCTCCCTCCCTTCTACTCTCTAGAAATCAACTGAAAAAATATCCTTTGGTGAGGATTTAAATGAATGAATGAATGAATGAAGTGGTGCACTGCTATGGAAAACAGTATGGCAGGCTCTCAAAAAATTAATAGCATTACCATATGAACCAGCAATTCGACTTCTGAGTATATATCCAAAAGACTTTAAAGCAGGCACTCAAGAGATAACTATATGCCCACATTCACAGCAGCATTATTTACCACGATGAAAAGGTGAAAGCCCCCCAGTGTCTTTCTGTGGAAGAATGGATAAACAAAATACGACATATACATACAACAAAATATTATTCAGCCTTAAAACAGGAGGGAATTCTGATACAGGCAACAATATGGATCCACCTTGAGAACATTATGCTAAATGAAATAAGCAGTCACAAAAAGACAAATACTTATATATAAGGTACGTAATCAAATTCATAGACAGAAAACAGAATGATGGCTGTCAGGGTTGGAGAAAGAAACGGGAAGTTATTATTTAATGTGTATGGAGTTTCAGTTAGGAAAAGATGAAAAAGTTCTGGAAATGGATGGTGGTTATGGTTGCCCAACAATGTGAACGTATTTAATGCCACTAAATAGACTATTGTGCATGGTGGGGGTCTGGCCTTAAAATTTAACCTTAAAAATGGTTAAAATTGTAAATTTTGTATCTCAAAATACTTCAGAAAGCATTTGGCAAAATTCATGATACAGGCAAAGATCTATTCCAGTGACACAAAGAGGGCTTGGAATGGATGAACAGTAATAAATGCAATACTTAACAGGTCTCTCAACAATGGTCCTACCGAGACCTTTCTCAAACAGTGCTTCAGAATGTTTGGACACACACTCTGTTTTTAAATGAAAAAAAAAAAAAGAAAAAAAAAAGGCAGAGAGGGATAGAGCTGCTATGAAGCTATGAGCCCAGTCCTTCCAGATAGTTTGTCATGATGCTAAATTAAATTTTGCATGTACTGCACTACCAATAAAAGACCTTTAAAGGCAAAACTGTGTTTGTATTTATGAAATAATCGTATGGTTTTCATTACATTTACTTCAATAGAAGACAAACTCAATTTGATTAAACAGATCAAACAGAAGCCAGAGTGGCCTTCTGCAGCAACCAAAGAGTATCATGCTCATATCAAGTTGCCTGGATAATTCACCAACATTCTATAATTCAGAAATCTTTTAAATATGCACACTCTCTGACTAAGCATTTCCACATCTAGAAACTTATACCAAGGAAATAGATGGAAGATGCATGTAAAAGAAACTTCAGTGAATGAAAAATTTAAACATCCTTAGTGATCAACAATGAGCAACTACAATAGTTAAATTATGGTGCAGCCATACAATTACATGCTGTACACACATAAAAATGTTAACTTATATAGCTATATTGCATGACTTTGCATGAATGTGCATGTATACATGTACATGAATACACATGAAAATTTGCAAATGCATGTGTCTGTGAACATGATACACTCATGCACACATGGGCATATAAACGTGTACATGTGTGCAAAGTGTGTGTAAAGCATAATCAGTAAAATTGCAGTTGTGTGTACAAAACTGTGCCTATATATATATGTATGGGTGCTTATGCCTATATTTGGACCAGGAGCCTGTGTTTTAAGTAGCTGAGTATGTGTTTATCCTCATAATCACTACTTAGAAGCTGTGACCTTGAGCAAGTTACTGAGCCTCTGGGAGTCTTCACTGTCATCTATACCAGCAGTTGCCAACCTTTTGAACCTCGCAGACCACCAGTGGTCTTCGGACCACCGGCTGGCAACCACTGATATATTACCAAGCCCTGCCTCACCAGGTTTTGTGAGGATTGAGTGAAAAAAATGGATGAAAGGAGTTGGTGCAGTGACTGGAGCATAGTAAATGCTCACAGTAAATCAATATTAGCTTTCCTTATCTGTACACATATTCAGGCATCTATACTGTATTTACACAGCTATAAATCCAGAGATACCCATCAAAATATTAACTCCGGTTATCTATGGGTGATGGGCTTTTGTGGTGGGGTTGTTTTTCTTGGCTTTCATATTTTCCAATTTTTCTAAGAAGATCATTTCTTTGTCATTCTCTTTTGAAGCTCTCCCTGACATACCTCAATTTTGTGTATTTAAAGCTATTAAATACTACACCAAGGAATGCATAATTTTGATACTCTACCAAGGTTTTTTGTATTCTAGCAGTGTGTGAGCACTACCTAGCAGCTCAAGAAGATGGCAGTACAAAGAAAAGCCCCAGCTTTCTGCTCGCTTACCTTACCCAAGGCAAGATGAAAAGAATGAATTAAATCACACGGGCGGGGGGGTGGGGGAAGAGTGGTGTACCTGGTGATTTGCAAACACCTTGGTGACAGTTAAGTGACACCTACCATTGGTACTTTGTTAGTGGAGAGGAACCCAGAGCCTTGCCCAAGGTCATACAAAAAAGCATGTGCCAGACCCCAGGCTGGGAGGGGATCTGAGGACTAGACTGCTTTGCCACAATTTTGGGCGTGTTTATGAAACCAAGAAGCTACATTCTGAACCAGTCATTTCAGGAGTCCGGCTGGAGGAAGGAGGAAATTACAACACAGGGCAGATGACAGAAAAAAAACACACACACACATAAAGTCAGTTAACAGGCCTCACCAAGGGTTTACTTGGAATGCATTGATCGTATTGTTTTTTTCCCCTTCTTTCTCAAGCATAGAGATAGCACAGTCCATTTCGTAGAAGCGCGATTGACATTTTACACAATTTATACAGAAAGCAATTTGAAACACGACAAAACGCAAGCAGTTGCTTGCGGTCCCCAATCCACAGCGGTGCCCGCCTGGCCCGACTCCCAGTCACGACGCGCTCAATGCCTCCGAAGCCCCTGCAGAAGGTCTCCCTGGATTCCTGCGAGAAACCCAGCTGCAGGGAGGGGCGAGTCAACCAAACAGGGTTCCCCCTGGGGCCTCGATTCGTAAATCATCCCCCAGATAATAATCCAATCATGCCCCGTCCATTTCCTCCCCAGCCGTGCTATTAGAGCTCGTTAATAAACGTCACGTCCAAGCCATTAAAACAGACCCGGGCACACGCCCTGCAGCCATCCACGTAGCTCGGCATTTTGGGGTGCCATCAGAGTCCCACCGCGCCTTTCCCACATTTACTGCAACATGCAGGCTTGTCTCTCGCCTCGGGTTTTTTTTTTTTTTTTTTTTTTTTTTTTTGGGGGGGGGGGGTAGATAGGGAGGTTGTTTTTTACTTTTGTCTTAAAGCGGAGGCGTGGGGGATGGGTTCCCACACAGACCGGGTCTGAAACCCTGAGTAATCGCATCTCGCCCAGGGAGCTGGGGCGACGGCCCCGGCGAGGTTAGCCTCTCCCCTTCGCCCGGTTTCCCCTCCATTTCGCGCTGGCTTCTCCCCTTCCCCGTGACATCAACCCCAGGAGGGAAAGGGAAAGCGTACGGCCTCCGGGTCCATGGCTGCGGGCGGGGGCGGGTTCTGACCCGGGGACCCGCCCGCCGGGGGCAGCGCAGGGAAGGCGCCGCGGGCTCAGCCTCTCCCGCCGCCCCGGCCCCGCCCGAGGCCGCGGAGGGTTCGGTCCGGTCTGGAGCGGCCCGCGGCGGCCTCGGCTCGGAGCGCCGCCCGCCCGCCGCCCAGGCCCAGCGCGGCCTGCCCAGCCGCGGCGTCCGCGGGCCCTGGGCCGGGCGGGGGAGGCCGCCGCGGCCGCAGCGAGGCCGGGGCCGGGGCCGGGGCCGGGGGCCGGGGGCCGGGACCGGGGGCCGGGGCCGGGCCTGGGGCGGGGGGCGGCGCCGCTCACCTGCTGGTACTCGACGGCGCAGGTCGGCTCCACCGCAGCCAGAGCCGCCAACGCCATGGCGCAGCCGGCGCGGGGACGAGGGCGGCGGCGAGAGAGGGAGGAAGGGGCGCGGGCGCGGCGGCTGGAGGCCGGGAGGCCGGGGGTCGCGCCTCGGGTGGGTCTCGATGGCCGCCGCTACCAGGCGAACCGCTCTCCTCGGCTGTGCGCGCCGCCGCGGAGGCTCCGGCTCGGCCCCGGGAGGAGGCGGGACCCGACGGCGACGCGGCCCCGCGCAGCCCGCCCCCTCCGCCCCGCGCAGCCCCGCCCCGCCCGGCCCGAACTCCCGGCCTGCCCTCCCCCCTCTCCTCCCGGCCCTGCCCTACCCGCCCCTCCGGGCTGTGCCCTGCTGGCCCAAACCTCCGGCCCTGCACTCCGGGCCAGGCCCAGCCCTCCCCGCCCTGCCTGCCCGCCCTCCCCTGCCCGGCCTGCCCACGCCACTGCCCTGGCCCCTGGCCCCGGGTCTGCCTCTCCTAGTGTCTCCCAGGCAGAAGCGCCAGGTTGGAGGCCACCGAAAGCGAATTGCTGCCACTGGCCACCTGGTGATGAGCACCTCGTGCCCAGCATGAATGAGCCTCCCCTACGTGTGCTCACTGGCCCCCATCACTCACACACACACACACACACACTCACACACACACTCACATACACACACACACACATACACACACAGTCACATATACACTCACATACTCACACACACACACACACACATACACACACGCTCACACACACACACTCATACACACACACTCACACACACACATACACACACAGTCACATATACATACACACACACACATACACACACACACTCACACACACACACTCACACACACACACATACACGCTCACACACGCTCACTCACACACATACACTCACACACACACAGTCACATATACACTCACACACTCACACACACATACACTTACACACATACACACATGCTCACTCACACACACACATACACACATGCTCACACACTCACACTCACATACACACACTCACACACACACTCACACACACACACATACACACATACACACACTCACCCACACATACGCACACACACACTCACATACACACACACTCACACACACACACACTCACACTCACATACACACACACTCACACACTCACACACACACACTCACACACACTCACACTCACATACACACACACACACACACGCTCACACACACTCACACTCACATACACACACACACTCACACACACACACTCACACACACATATGCACACACACACACAGGGCCCGTAAGACTGAGGTGGTTGACCCGCAGGGAAATGGATAGTCTCATGGCAGCGCCCTCAGTTCTGACCCACGCACTCCCTTCCCCTCTGCCATCCTCGTAGGCCGGGGGTCAGTCAACTGCAGGGCAGAGGCCAGATCCGGTCCAGTGATTGTGGAAAACATCTGACATTCAAGGTTCAGTGTCTGTAAAGTAAGTTTGAACTTAATGCAGCCGCCCCCATGTTTTTAGTATGACCTGCAAACCCTAAGCTACTTGCTGTTGGGCCCTTTAGTGGAAAAAAAAAGTTTGCTGACCCTAAACCTTCGAAAACTTCTTGGATCTTAAAGCCTATTTAGAGGTTGGTAACAGCCTCATTTCTACGCAGTCCTTTAAGTATTTTAACAGCCTCATCCATGTATATAGAGACGATCTTTTTCTGAACCAAAGCTCTCTGAGGAGCCGATATGAAAGGCAAAAAACTTCAGTGAGCCAAGCTACAAGCTTCCCAGGGAGCAGGACCAAGGGCAGAGGTGGTAAGGGAAGGGAGAGTCTGCCTTTTGAAGAGCTGAAAGGAGGCAGGCATACCTGTCATAGAGATCATTCTTACTGTTTCGCAGATGAAAAAATTATGCTGGGAGAGATTAAATATTTGACCCAATAACGCAGAGCTAGTAAGGGGGTAAAGCTGGAATGAAACCCATTAAGCCAGTTTTTAAAACCATTATTATGTAGATAAATGATAAATTTTGTGGACAAGAGTAGTATGTGTCTTTAAAATATTTTGATATCTCCCGTAGCATATCGCTCAATATAGCCTATCTAGCATGCATTTGAGGTGTCTTGTTTCTTTCTACCACATCCAGCCATCTGGGATTGCTTCCACCCATATATCCAACACAGAAGAAAACATGATCTTTGAGGCTTGTTGCAATTTCTTCCTTATTTCCTTTCCACATTGGTGGTCTCAGGTTGGCATTAATATGATTATTGGTGTAGCTTTTAATTTTCAAATTTTGTTAAATATTACACATTTTAAAATTTAGCTGTGGCCCTCATTGGTTTGGCTCAGTGGATAGAGTGTCTGCCTGTGGACTGAGGGGTACCAGGTTCGATTCCGGTCGGGGCATGTACTTTGGTTGCGGGCACATTAGGAGGTGTGCAGAAGGCAGCTGATCGATGTTTCTCTCTATCCCTCTCTGTAAAAAATCAATCATATATATATGATTAAATATATATATATATATATATATATATATATATATTATATAAACTTAGCTGTGTTTTGAAACTACCCTGAGGTTCCTGTACATAGGAGCCAAATGTAATCAATAAAAATTCTAGATGTTCAGCTTCCTCACTTTGAGTTCTCTGCTAGTATCCCAACTCCTACACGTCTGTCTCTTTTCCAGCAACATACCAATTGAGAGTCTTACAATGGTATGCTCCTTATCTGTCCTTCAGTTGTTTTTAATCCAGAAAAAGAAAACTTTAATATATACTTTTATTGATTTCAGAGAGGAAGAGAGAGGAAAAGAGAGAAACATTAATGGTGAGAGAGAATAATCGATCGGCTGCCTTTTACACACCTTCCACTGGGGATCGAGTCTGAGCGTGAGCCCTGACCGGGAATTGAACTGTGATCTCCTGGTTCATAGGTTGATGCTCAACCACTAAGCCACACTGGATGGGCCAGAAAAACAAACAAACAAACAAACAAAATTTAAATGTAATACAGTATAATGAATTATCCCAAACATAATGTCCTACCTTGTGATCTTGTATATTTGTGTGTGTGTGGGGGGGGGGGGGGGGGGGAACTAAGTTGAAATTTTTTAAAATCTCATCAATAGAAAGTAGAAATCCAGACTTCTTTGCTCAGATATTCTAAACTTACATGTAAGAAGGAGTAAAGAGACGCTGTCTGTGCTGCCATGTTTGGCTATCGGAACTGCAGCTGCCATCTTTATGCATGTCTGCTGCACTGTGATTTTTGTGGAAAAGTTGTTACCCTTCCCATTTTCTTCTTTCCTAAACTACTAGTACCTTCTCTTTCTTTTTTTCTTTTTTTAAATGTATTTTTATTTATTTCAGAGAGAAAGGGAGAGGAAGAGAGAGATAGAAACATCAATGATGAGAAGGAATCATTGATTGGCTGCCTCCTGCACGCCCCCTCCTGTGGGACCGAGCCCACAACCTCAGGCATATGCTCTTGATGAGAATAGAGCCCAGGACCCTTGAGTTCACAGGTCAACGCTCTATCCACTGAGCCAAACCATCTAGGGCTAGTACCTTCTCTTTCAATAGCTATACACGCCCTGCATATGGACATAAATATTTATCACACTATAAATACTGGGCTTTCTTACAGGAATAGTTCCTCTCAAAAGAAAAACAGAATTGATCTCCAGTTTCCAATCTCCCTTTCCTTCTTCTTTTTTTTTTTTTTTTCCACACATAAGAGAGAGTTTATTTAGAAAGTCACAGCTAAGTGTTCAGGAAACAAATTACAGAAGCAAGAGAAGGGCCTTTGGAGCTTAGGCCAGAGAAAGGTGAAGGCAGCACAGCTTGAGGGGAGAAGAGGAGGGGAGGGGAGAGGAAGGAAGAGGCTCCAGCCAGCTCCTGAAAGGGAGAGCATCACTCCTTTTCTGATGTCCTGAACCAAAATGCTTTGTGATAACAATAAAGACGAAGCCTTTTTTTTTTTCTTCTGTGATTTCCCCCCAAAGCCTTTAATAAGTAAATGGAGATGATTTGTGTTGATGCAATTGATGGCTATATTGGGGGACTGAGAAATTGACTCTCTGCTGTATAGGGTCTCCGACTGGCAAGCAAACTGTACAGGGAAAGGGAAAACTCTGAGTCTCTGACTCATGGACCCATGCCTGCTGCAGGCCAAGCAGACAGAGAAGATCATCCAAGGCTGTAAAAACTGCACTCCTTGGCTTCATCTCGAGATATTGTCAAGAGAGTTTCCACAAAGTTATTCATTTCAGATTGCTGCACTTATAAACTTATTTCCCCACGGAATAACAGTAATAATTTCCATGTGCAATACTTTTTATGTGAATTGCTGACTCTGAATCATCCATCCTGAGAGAGAAGAGAAATATTATGGACAAGTAAGAGCACAGCTCACGTCTGTTTTTCTTCATTCCCCTCGTTTAGAGAAAAAATTCCTCCAAGGTGGATGAGGGCTTCTTTCGCACCCACCTAAGTCCTACGCAGCCCTGAGCTCAATGAGTAACCAAGAAAGGTTTGTTAAATTTTAAACAAAGGCTCACTGGCCTAATATCTCATTTCAGGCCTTCATGTCTCCAGCTAATCTTCACAGGCCTCCCGCTGAACCACGGGATTCCATTTTTACTGACTTACTATTCATTTCATTAAGGGCAAAAGGTAATATCTTCCTATTACAAATAAAGGAAGTGTCCTCTGGTGGTTACTGCTGTGTGTGGAGCACCTCCTGGGTCCCCGGCCCCCGTATTAAAGTATAATACATCACCTCCTCCGTCTCGGGACAAATCCGTTGTGCAGATGAAGAGACTGAGGATATGTGTATACCTTCCTCAGCTAGCGCGTGGTCAAACCACAATTCAAACTCAGGTCTGTGTGACTACAAATCCTGAGCACTGCTCTGGGCGTGGAGGGAAATACAGGACCTAAAAGGACCAGGTCCACCTGAGGAAAAAGGGCCTGAGTGAGAAAAAGGCTTTGTTGTGATGGAAGAAGGGAAGGCATAGAGAGTCATGATTACGCTTGTACGAAAACTCAGAACAAGGGTCAGTAAGCTTTTGTATAAAGAGGTAAGCAGTAAATATTTTGGACTCCGTGGACCACAGCTCTCTGTCACACTCCTCCATTTTGCTATCGTATTGTAAGCACAGCTATAAACAATACCAAACAAATGAGCACAGTTGTGTTCCAGTAAAACTTTATTTAAGGGAACCA